TAGCTCCTGCAGCTAAATGTAGCTCCTGCAGCTAAATGCAGCTCCTGATGTTTAGCTTTAATATTTCAGTTTCTCAAACTTCACATTTCTTCAGTAAATCTAGATTCATTTATAAAAACACGTTTTGAGATTTACTGATATAATTTGTCTCTTCTAAATGTTTTAATTTATTTAAAAAAAACAACGACGGCTTTATCCCAGCTGATGAACCGGGTCGCAGCAGAACCTGGGTCGACGTGCAGAGATGACGTTGTGGCTTTTTAAACAGAGCTCCATTGATTTCTGCATCAGAGCGGAGCAGAACTGCTCCTGTCGCAGATAAACCGGGTCAGAACCAGCCCATGAACCGGGTCAGAACCAGCTCATTTTAAATGAATTCAAAACCACTTTCAGAACCGTTCAGTGTGTTTATATTAAAGGATTTAGTCTGAACTTATTTTCATTTAAAAGACTCGAGTAGTTTCAAGCGACTGAAGAGCAGCCGAGTTCAAAACGACATCACTTCCTGTTGTTGTTTATCAGCTCGTTAAGAAACGAGAACTTTGCACCCGTCACATTCTTCTGTTTATCTTCAAACTTTGTTGACGTTCACTTGGTCTTTGCTGCGGTTTATAAAAACTTGTTTTACTTCAGTTTGTACCGTCATGTCTGTTCAACAAAATAAACTTTAACTTCCTGAAACGGTTTCAGCTCAGACAGTTAATTAAACACCGTTTGGGTTTTAAGGTACCACTGTAGAAAATAATTACTTTTTAAAGGTTTATTTTAGTCCAAAGTGTCGTCGAGGATTTAACGCCTAGTTTAGAAGACGGAGTTTGAAACTAAGTAGTAAAAACTTCGAGCATGAACTAAATTCAATGTTTTAATCTGTATTTCAGTGTTTATCCATGTGTTGCTGCCACAAGCACCAAATATTTATACTTTTAGATCTTCAACACAAATACTTGTTGGTTTTTACTCAAAACACTTAAAATCGGTGTCGTTTCCTCTTTAAGAAAGTGAAAACTACCAAACCAAACGTCCAACAGAATGAACCGTTTCAAATAAAAACCTGTTTTTACAGACGGATGCTGAATTTAAAGAACGTTTAAAGTCCAAATACCGTCGGTTTTGGTGCCAAATCTTTTCCTTGTTATAAAAAAACAACATGATGTCAGTGGAGATGAGCACTTCCATGACCATATATGGAGTGATGATGTTTCCAGAGGACGACCAAAGCACGGCGGCCATATTGTTTAATTGATTATTACAGAAGCTGCTTCTTTATATTTATTTGACTTTTTGGTGTAAATTTCTCACATTTAAAACAAATATTACATGAATGAGCTACAAGATACAATGTAAATATTAGAATGTGTAAACATTTAACTTATAAATCCTAATAAAAAGCTCTGGGAGTAAAGAAACAGCTTCAAGTCCAAAGAACAGACCGACCCAAACACAAAACCCGACCAACCCGATCCCTCAGACGGGTCTGGGTTCTGAGAGCTCCAGCTGCTCCGGCCAACACCAGCTGATTTTTATTTAGATTAATTTACTGAAAACATTGAGACATTTCCTTCTACATATTTATATAAATATGCACATTTATACATGTAAATAAGCTGTGAAAGCTAAATAAATAAAACATGTTTTACTTGACATGTTTGACCCTCGGGTGTTCATGTGGTGCCCCCGCCCTGGGGCCCCTCAGAGGACAGGTACGCCCCTGGCTGATAAACCATCAGGCGGAAACAAACAATAAAACAAACACTGGCACGTGCTTCATCAACACAGAACTCATCTTCTCGCGCACAGCCTCTTAAAGAGAGCTACCAGAAACTGGGCCAGAACCAGAACCAGGCTCACCCAGCCCGCTGATCTCCTGTCTGCTGTTCAGTCGGTTCCGCTCGTCGGCGATGGCCTTCAGCATGTGCAGCAGGGAGCCGTCCAGCTCTCCGTTCTCCTCCTCCGAGGGCCCGACAGCCTTACACAAACCCGGGAAGGACGCCATCTCCGAGCTGGGACCATGACAGTCCGGGCTAACCGACCCACGGTACCGGCTCACGGCAGCTAACGAACCAACGGCCTGAAGGACGACAGGGAAGCGGGCACCGAGGAGTTCCCGCGGGTCTTACGGTGACTCGACCCGGTGAAAGCTCCTAGCTGAGCACCGTGGAGGTCCAGACCGGCGCTGTGCTGCCCGGGAACAGCGCGGGCAGCTCGGTATGCTGAGGAGACCCTGGTCCCTGGAAACACCCCTTACACTTCCGGTAACACGAGGCTTTAAAGAGACAGGGCAGCGAAACCGCGCGCTCACCCAGCGCGAGGCCGGAGAACGGAGCGACGTTACGGAGAATTCCGTTACCCAGAACATCCGGCGACCAGGAAGCCCGCAAAACCGCCTGACTAAAAATAAAATAACGATTGAATAAAACAAAAGCTTGAATAAACACGTAAATAAGGTGCAGAAATATTTATCTCAACTAGAATGCAGGTCCTCACGTGGAAAACAACAAATTAAAGTGAAATAAATGAGTGACATTTTGGCACCACATGTAATGATGATACATGAGGTGGAACGGAACTATAAATATACTGTATATACAAATATGCAGTAACTCATATATATCACAATATTTGAGCTCAACCCCAACTGTTATATTTAAACAATCTTCACACTTTTCCACTGACGAACCTTCATGGAAGTAAACAACAAACTGACCTTCAGTTTCACCAACACAGTAAAATAAAATAAAACTATATTTTATTTGTGGGTAAGTGACTGAGCAGTAAAAATGCTGCACTTCCTGGAAACACATTTTCTGGTGGGGGACAGAATTCGATGTAACACCGCAACAAACCCCGCCCGCACGGTATATCCCGACAAGCTGAAGCCGGTCCTTTAATCGAGCGCACCCTACCTTTTCAGACAAAGGATGACGTCATTCTGCCGACACTGACGTGAGGGAGACCGGAAACTGAATCAGAATTTTAACTGACACATAAGTTCACGATTATTTTTCTGATTAGAGAAAATCCAAATACAGCAGAAAGATGTGTTTTAATACTATAGTAAAAATACTAGTTAAATTATAACTACTTCGTAAATATTATGGGATACGTTTTAAACCATTTAATACAGACAGACAGAAAATATAAAAAAATAGACATTTCTTAATAAATGCTTTTATTGTCTGAATTATAATATTCTTTGTTTTAGTGTAAAATCTGATTTATAAATAAACCAGGTAAATATGTGTTGTTTATTTTTCAGTTTTGTGAAACGAAAATAAATACTCATTATAAAGAGAAACATCTGAAAACAGTAAAAGACAGGAGCGGACAAGTCACTGCAGGAGAGTCACCTGATGGGGAGAAGCTCACCTGAGGCAGGTGAGTAAAACTACATGGTTTACCATAATTTACATGTAGCTCACCTGATGGGGAGAAGCTCACCTGATGGGGAGAAGCTCACCTGATGGGGAGAAGCTCACCTGAGGCAGGTAACTCATCTCGGTCAGTTCTCTCGTAGAAACTCAAAATGAAGAGACGTTTGTTTCTCTGAAGTGACTCTAATCTGAATCTGAGCAGATTATTTTACTGACTGAGACTAAAAAGAGCAAAAATAACTCAAATGCACTTTTTTCTAAACTGCAGCAGTAAAACGATGTCGTGCAGAGGAGGGTCTGGTTTGGGCGCCTCAGGGTCTCGTTGTGGCTCTGTTGGTGTCTTCAGGCCAAGACCTTCAGCGTGCACCGGGGCCGTTCACGTATGGAAGAGACGTCCGAGTTGAAAGTGACCACAAACCGTCGCATCTTCAAGAAGCTCTCACCTTCAGAAACACAGCGTGTGTCGCATAACGGATGATGGACGAGCAGGTCCGCGGTGCCAACCTGCGCACAACCGGCGTGTCACAACTGACATGAAGTCCACTTCCGACACACACGGGATCCAGATATTATTTCTGACGAAGGTCCTCAAAGTGGAGAGCTGGGAGTTTGTGCATCTTCCAGTTCTTGGTACCCTCAGTCCAGTGGACCGGTAGAAAGAGCAGTGCTGCTTTAATGATGCGGGTGACCTGCACGCGTCACATCTGGAGTATAGAAGGACACCTCTGGGGGGGGACTGGGGGTCCATTAAAGACAACACTGCCGACCGCCACTTCACTGAGAGGACACTAAATGTGCACAAACAGCTGGAAGGAAGACAGGCGAAACAAAAAGGCTGCTGAACAGCTGCACGCTGGAGAAAATGTAGCGAGCAGGAAGTCCACAGCTGGAAGCCAGCTGTGGTTCAGAACGAGCACGAGCAGCTGGGTTCCTTCAGCAGATGGACGGAGCCAGGAGACGTCTCAGATGGACTGCCGAGACGTCTCAGGGGGACCGCTGAGACGTCTCAGATGGACTGCCGAGACGTCTCAGGGGGACCGCCGAGACGTCTCAGGGGGACCGCCGAGACGTCTCAGGGGGACCGCTGAGACGGCAGTTTATCTTCTTACTTGTTCATTCAACAGAATGGGGGAGTGGCGGCGCAGAGGTTACAGAAGGTGAGCCTGTGATCGGAAGGTCTCTGGTTCAACTCCTCAAATCAACATCATCAAAATGTGGGTGGGAATGGTGAAGCATCCACACCTGCCTCCACCCTCATTTGCTCCACTCTGGGCCCTTGAGCAAGGCTCCCAACCCCCACCATCTGCTCCCCCTGGCGCCCTGTGGCTCAGTGTCTGTGGTTGAGTCATGAAGAACATCTGGAGTTAAAACAATTGTCAAGACGTTGTGAGAGTTAGTTCGCTGTGACGACCCCTGAAGAAGAGAGCAGCCGAAAGAAGAAGAAGGCCGAGGAACAAACAAAGAATCACCAACAGCCGCAGTATTTAACTGAACTGCTCCGGAGGCAACGAAAGTCATTCTGTAAATAATCCAAGTTTTACGTTCATCTGTTCTTCTGTCCATTCTCCTTCTTCAGGGGCCTCCACAGTGAGTCTTCCTCCATCTCACTCTGTCCTCACTGTCCACTGTCCTCAGTCCTCACTGTCCTCTGTCCTCACTGTCCTCAGCCATCACTGTCCTCTGTCCTCACTGTCCACTGTCCTCACTGTCCTCTGTCCTCACTGTCCACTGTCATCACTGTCCACTGTCCTCACTGTCCTCTGTCCTCACTGTCCACTGTCCTCACTGTCCTCACTGTCCTCTGTCATCACTGTCCTCTGTCATCACTGTCCTCACTGTCCTCACTGTCCTCTGTCATCACTGTCCTCTGTCCTCACTGT